TCTCACTAATTAAATCGTCTATAAGATTATTATAGATTTTTTTTTTAATTATTCTAATTCTGTCATAATGTTGTTAGAATGTTTATTGAGTCGTATTCTGTAAGAATTAAAATAAGTGAAAAACGATCTGTGAGAACAAAAATGAATAAGAATTAGTGAAAATGCATTAAAATACCAATAATTGTGTGAGGTTGAAAGTATTCACATTATTAAACAACTCATTTTCTTAGTAATTCTCATAGAATAATACTGTCCACACGTCCGCACAATAATTGTCCATCCACATTATAACCTAACCTGTTAAATCTGTTTTAGCACCTTTTCAACATAAATAAAAGGTCACAGTGATCCACTAAAATTTCTTTTAGAAATTGATAGCTTTTATCCACCGCAATAATGGTAAAACCATACAAAAAAATCAAGATATAATGGACTTTGTTTATATTGCTCTTCAACAAATATAAAAAAAATTTAATTTATGCATAAGGAAGTCATATTAAATGTTATATTGTTAAACCAAACTAATTATTTAAATAAAAAAAATAGATTTATAACCTTCTCGAGATTTTTGTAAGGTCATAAAAGATTAAAAGTTGAATAATTTCAACTAAATTATACACAAAAAATAATGTTAATAATATTGTTGGATCGGAGATAAGAGCAACGATATAAACGAAGGGGACCCAACCCAAATGAGTCGAACAACATACATTCCAATTCCATAACGCATTTTACGGCAATCAGGCCATTCAACAGAACTAAAACTAAATTACAACAGAACCCAACACAATACAAATATACAATGCAAAAGGATTATTTTCTCTAATTATTTTCTTTCTATTTTCTAATTTTCCTTGTGCCAATTATTTACAAAAACTGCATCCCAAATTCTTCAAAGGGATCAGCAAAAATAGGGGCAAGTCAAACCCTTATGACCTTAAAATAACCACCTACTGCCTCTAACCACGTGCTAATTCGTTAAATATACACAACAAAATCAGACTAACACGTGTCTAACTGCCATGGATAACGAAGACTGATTTGTTTGGCATTTAGCTTGAGCCTTCTTCGTTATCACTTTTCCAGGATTCAACTCCAAATACTTCTTCAATCATGCTCCCAGTCGGCAAAAAATCAGCTTTATTCCTCGGGAATGAAAAATACCCCACATCCCATTCTCTCGAATCCGAAGGCTCCAACATGAAATCATGGTTAACTTCACTCACTTGCGATTCAGAAGATGTGCAGGAATTGTCTCCACTTTCATCAATTAAGGTTTGATTATAGCCATGGATGAACTCCGATTCCTCGTTATAGTAAAAAACTGGACTCTCGTTACTAACCTCATCTTCCTCTGATGACTCGCTGCTTCCCTGCCATTCATCGTCATCGCTATCGGCGTTCATTGGATCAAATCTGTTCTGTTCAGCTCTCCTTTGCAGCACAAACACGTTGAAATAATAGCTAACGATTTCCCCATTGGTGCGTGAAGGGAACGCATCCGCCAAATGATTCCAGAAGTTTTGCCCTAATGATACAGGATTCGAGTACACCACCTCGTGAAATAATTGTTCGTCTTCTTCGGTCCACTTGCATGCCACCATGTCCCCCATGTTACAGAATCCGAGCTCTGAGAATCGTTCATGCCCGATGTTCTCCCTCAGGTTCTCTCTCGCTTCTATTATGTGTAATCGGACACATATAACAGACCCCGGATCTTCACACCAACAATGGCTTTTTCCAACCCCATTGCAAATAGGTGGTGCTGAATCGGGCATTTGGATGACACATGAACCGATGAACTTGTTCTCATTTGATGTTTTGGAGGCGTTGTTTGGATCAAATCCATGCCATTCTGGAATATCGGCTTGATATTGTGGTCCAACAGGGACTTGTTTCAGTGGAGGAAAGTGTAAAAGATGAGAATACGTATCCACAGGCTGAATTGGTGCTTCTGACTTCACAACATCATTCTCATTATGAGAATTTTGTTCATCAGCTATGACTATTAGAATGAGTCAACAAAAAGTAAGTACACCAGAAACTACAACTATCAAACTTTAATATCCTGTTGAAGGGATAAAAAGAAATGTGAATCATGGCAAATGTGTCAAGAAAGCTTAAAAGGGTGTTTGGAAATATCAAATATGCCTTTTTAAAGTTATAATCGCGACTTTTCAAGAATCGATTTTTTTATAATAAAAAAACACCCGTTGCTAAAAACTAAAGATAGATAAATATCTACGTTTAGTTTTCTCACCCACCTGAATTGCAAGGTTTTAGAGGCACATCTTTTGAAGGAAATTCCAAAGATGAAACTAACTGGAAACTATTTTCCAATTTCAAGTGTTTTGGTGAAACATCATACTCCTCTTCAACCAATTGACGTTTCTGTACCATGTTTAACTGCAAAATGCATTTTCATATTAGAATTTGAATGAATTCAAGGAAAACCCTATTTGGTACAATGAAATATGATAAAAGATATGATCCCTTTCAAGACAATTAGATTGTTACAATACACAATATAAAGAACACCACAACGACCAAATTTTGATAATAAATTTAAAAACTTTTGCATCAAATACAAAAGTGGATGAACTTTCTCCATCAATATTCACTCATGGGAACAAACAAGACAAATGTTGACGTGGCAAGAGATAAGAATCTTTAAATCCCAAGAAGCTACTCGATGAAAAACAAGATTCCTTTGGGTAAATTTAGAAAAGTACAAGAATCGTATAAAGGCATTAAGCTTGTATGGACATTAATGGGGTGCATCAAATGTGAGAATAAGCATGTGACTTGTGAGTAATAATAATGGGCACTCAATTCTTTAAGGGGTAAGGTATAATTAGTGTCATTCTGACAAATAAGAAAGAATTTTAATCGGCACATGCCAAGACAATACACAATAAAGCCCAAAATAGTTGACAAATAATCAAGGGAAAAAATGTTTTGTAATTAAAGAATCGTGAAACTGAAAAGGGATTATTATTATTATTGAAATAAAGCTAAAATAATTGTTGACCGTTGACAAAGCCCCAAATTGTACAACGAATCCCTAACCCTAGATCCCCAAAATTGAAATTTCAATAATTCGCACAAATTCTAAATCAAGATCTGCTAAGATTAAATTCAATTTAAGATATAATCGACCGATAAGAACGTATCCAAAAACGAAAACCCTAGATCGGAACAAAGAAATAATATTATCAAATAGATCGAGATCTGCAAAATCACGACCAAAAGAAATACACAAATCAGAGGAAATCGACCGATTAACCTAAACAGATGATAGGATCTGATATATAACCAACAGAAAATTGGAACCCTAACCTAAAATACGATTTCCGTATCGGCTGGCGTTGAAAAAGAGGTCAATCGGTAGGCAACAACGGCAATCGAAAGAATCTGAGAGTCCTGGAACGATCCGAGCAATCGAGATCGAGTTTAGCGATTAGGGTTAACGAAGAGAGAAATCGATGAAAAGACGGACACGAAATTCTCAAGAAAAGGCGGTCAGCCCTTTTTCGTAGCACATGCTAAAAATAAATATTTAAGAAATTGATATTCTCTTTTTTCGAATTAAAAAATATTTACTCTTTGTTTTATTAATTGAATTCTTTTATTTTTTTAAATCATGTCATTATTGTTGTCTATATCTAATAAATAAATCTCAAAAATGAATTCTTTGTTTTAAAGAAACTAGATTATAATCCGCGTTAAACGCGGGGAACGCATAAAAAAACATAAAAATGTCCACACATATTGCATAATAATTATTAAAAAAATTATGATTATTGGTATTATTGAGATTTGTAGAGGATACATTGAAATCGATAAATATCTATAATCGTTGAAGGACCTGTTTGCACACAACATATTTTATTTTATTAGTTGAACGACATTCATCGTCACATATGAGTACCTTCAAAATCATAGATAATTACATTAGTATAATTTGACGAAAGATTGATGGATAAATAACTCTGAATGCAATGGTTTATGAAGAGGAATCTAGTACAGAACATTATATATATATATATATATATATATATAGATATATATATATATATATATATATAATATAAAACCAAAATTGAAATGTAATTGGTGGAAATTTTTATAAAGTAAGTTGCTACTTCCGGCATAAAAAGTAAGCAAATAAAAAAATGGGTCAAATTCACAAAACTAATGACATTTTGAACTGTTGACGCTTGAAAAAAAAATGTCCCAAGTTTAAATAAAGCTATGCAACATGTTGTAAACATATTAATATAACATTTTAAAAGTTTTAATTCAGTTTTTTTAAATGGTAAACATTAAGGGCGTGTTAGGCAAAATTAGCTGGTAACGGGTAGCTTGTGGCTTGTAGCGTTTTGTTAAACGCTACATGAAGTAGCATTTGGATTTGGAGCGTTTTGTTTAAACTAAACGCTAGAAGCTTGTAGTGTCGAACGAGACTTTCTGTTTAAAATGGAGCGTTTTGTCAAACGCTAAAAGCTAGAAGCTCTCTAATGCTCCGTGCCGAACACGCCCTAAACATGTTTAGTTCAAAAGAATATACCATTAGAAATCAATTTTGGTAATACTTGAACACATAATTCTTTCTAAGGGAGGAGGGAGTCATTCCCTCCCAACCCACTGAACCCACTGCCACATCACTTTTTCTCTTTTATTTTTCTTCATCTTTCCCAACCCACAACACACGAAAACCCTGTCTTTTTGAACCCACTCAACCCATTCAATTAAAAAAAATACAAAACAATCAAGGTAAAATCTTAATTAGCAATAGAGTTATCGTCGGTACCACTCCCGCTTCAGCGGGTTATTTAATTATTTTCATTAACCCACTTCATCATCTCTCTCTCTCTCATTTTCTCTTGTATCATGTGTTTTAAAACTTCTATCTTAGTTGTTTTGTATTTTTTTTTAATTTAGTGGGTTGAGAAAGATAGGATTTCCATGTTTTGTGGGTTGGGAAAGATGAAGAAAAAGAAGAGACAAAAATTGATGTGACAGTGGGTTCAGTGGGTTGGGTGGGAATGACTCTCCTAATACTTCCAATGACTAACAAGACAAAGATATTGATTTAGTATGTTTCTGTTCCTTTAAATTTAGGTTCACAAAACGAAAATCATGTTATTTCAGGGACTATTTTTAAGATTTATTATGGAATGAGGAATACTTTCTTGAAAAAACAGAGTAATGTAGATTTATCTGTATTTTCTTCTTAACCTTAGGAAGTTGGGTCTCATTGGCTGGCTTGAATTTGTTCCCATATCTGATGTTTGAGTTGGCCTAAAGGGGATAAGAGGTTTCTTTATCAACATGCTTGCATCAATGGGGGAACTACTTGAGGTGATGATTGATGAAGCAACTTTAGCTTTTAGTTTTCTTGGTATTTCTAGTCTTTCTAGTATCCTTGAAGTTTTTCATCAATTGGCTTATTACTCTCAATTGGTGTAGAAGCACAAGTGGAAGAATAGATATTAGGAATTTCAATGATAATTAATTGTTCCCACTCTTATGTTATACGTGTTGTGATTTTATCTCGTCCTGATTTCAAGTCCATATGTGGGATTTCCATTTCTGTTTTCTCTTCAAAGACTAATATATCCTTTGTTTGCTTTGAAGGTCCAGGCTCAGATAAAGATTCTCCTTGAGTTGATTTAAGTTTATGAGGCAATTTTTCTGATTTGTTAGGCAATGACCTGGATATATAAGACTTGATGAAATCCGAGCAAAACTTAATGCTAAAAGGAGAAGATATCTACCCAAAATGCAAACTTTCTTTCATAAAGCACATTTAGTTTTTAGTGAAATCCCCTTTCGTGTAGGATGGGATTGTAGTCACATACTTCAATCTGAGCAAAATAATAGAATATAAAAGTGCTAAAGGAATAAAAAAAATCCAACTAATTTTCAGATAGATAGATGAAATATTAGACAAACAAAGGAAAGTGCATTACTATTTCTTGCATTTAGCATAATCAGGGGCTAAATATAAGAGATAACAATAAACTTCCATTTGTTTGTCTAATATAGCATCATGCTTTCATTTCTAATTCTTAAGTTCTTAAACTTTTATTTTAATGTTTTTTTTCATATTAAACCATTGTATTTTCAAACATAAATAAGAAAAAAAGTTTGGAATTAAAATGAAAGTTAGATAATATAATTAAACAAACCAAATAAAAGTACAATGCTATTTCTTGCATTGCGCCTAATCAAGGGCTAAATGCAAGATATAACGATGCGCTTCCATTTGTTTGTCTAATATATCATTATACTTACATTTATAATTCTTATTTTTTTTTAATTTATGTTTTTCTTAATAAACCATTGTACTTTCAAAGTACAATGATTAAATAATAAAATATTTTTTTTAAAGTTAAGAATTAGACATGAAAGTTGGATGCTCTAATTAGACAAACAATAGGAAGTACATTGCTATTTTTACAAACATTATTATATATTATACTATTTTTTGTCATCTATATTATAACAATATAACTTTAGTTTAATACCTAATAGGGTGACGATCTATATGAGGTTATCGCAATTACAATCGTGTCGGTACTGATTATAGCTTTTATTTAAGCATATGCTTGGATAAGGTTAACGTCAATCATATGAGCATACCTAAGAATGGACTAAAACATCAGTAGAATTGAAAAATTATATCCTTCAAAGAGAAAACATGTTGGAAAATGATTTCGGAGACCATATAAAACATCTTCCAAAGAAGACGTTGAACTTCTGCTTTTTCTCACTCATCTTGGCAACCAGGAGGCAAATTTCCACTCAAGACAAGCTCTATCTACAAATACAATGAATCATAAATGATTAAGAAAAAAGTTACAATAGCTCATCTAAATATTTAAATTTGGAAAACAATACCCAAGGGATGAAATTTTAACAGGGAATGGGTCGAATTTGCAATACAGTTTCCAAGGAACACATAGCAGTTTAACAACTATAATTTTATAATACTAAATTAATGAATAAACTGACCCCATCACTTTTCAGATTTTAAACATTGGAGAACTGGTCTTTCATTTTAAGTATAAAAGTGTATTACAATAAATTACTAAAAAAAGAATTAGGGTGTAACGCCCCGATTCTCAGGTATCATTTAAATATGAGTTATTGGATGAAGCTCTACTCGACGAGTCGGTTGACCTACTCGTCGAGTAGCAGCGGGGTGGAATCGCATGTTAAGTGACCTACTCGACGAGTCCATGTTGGAACTCGGCGAGTCGGAGCTGGCAGAAGAAACCCTAAATCCAGGAGTTTGCACCCTATTTAAAGGAGCCTCAGCCTCCTTTGGTCTCTTTGCAGTCCTTGTGAAATCCTTAAAAACCCTAATTCGTGTAGTATTCCATTTTGGTGTGTCCTAAGCTTGGAGAGAAGGTTGGCTAGAAAAGAAAAGCTAGAAGTGCAAAGGGATTGGAGCAAGGAAGGTGTGGTAAGCAGAAATTACCTCAGCTAGCATCCTTTGGAGGTATCAAGTTGCCATCCTTACTTCCCTTTTTCCTTTTGTTGAGTTTTGGGGGTTTTTCATGGATTTTGAGGTTGATAAGGTGGGATATGAGCTAGATCTGAAGTTGTAACTTCAGATCTGGACCCTCCTTAAGTTTCAGAATCATAAAGTTGTTGTATTGGTCATGATTGAGGTCCCTCTTGACCATGAAGTTCCATTAAGAGCTTAGAAATGGCATTTAGAACCTTTGTAGCTATGCATGCACGTAAAGTTTGCAACTTTACGTGAAAAGCATGCCCTACAAGCTTGGATCTGTGATTTGGAGCCGCTGCATGGCTCAAAGCAAGTCTGTATGGAAAAAGGACTGAATGGACTCGGCGAGTCGCAAGGTTGACTCGGCGAGTCACATGAAGATGGCCGTGAACTCGACGAGTTGGATGAACAACTCGGCGAGTCCGATGAAGATCACCATAAGACTCGACGAGTTGAAGAACAACTCGGCGAGTCGGATGAGTTTTCCCTTGGATATGTATGCGTGTGTATCCGTCGAGTTACAAGGAGGAAACTCGACAGATGGCCTGAAAGTTTGAACAAAAACCGATGGAACTCGACGAGTCACCCCGATAACTCGGCGAGTGGGATGTGCTTCAAGGCACTCGGCGAGTAGCCGAGGGTACTCGGCGAGTTGGGGTCAACATGGACTGTTGACCTTGACTGAGGACTTTGACTTTGACCAGGGGTTGACTGGTGGGTTATGGAGTACCTTATAAGGTTAAGGACTTATGAGTATATTGTATTATGGTCATAGGTGGTGGAGCCTGTGTCAAGTGATCCGAGAGTTGGAGTTTACCTTCCGAGGTCGACATCTGCGAGGTGAGTTATCCTCACTATATCGATAGGGTCTACGGCACCAAGGCCGACCCTTTATGGTTTACATCCTAGTTTAGGATGGTTGCTATGTTATCGCTATGCTAGATTACATCCTGGTTTAGGATGGTTGCTATGTCATTGCTATGCTAGATTTCATCCTGGGTTAGGATGGTTGCTATGTTAGATTTCATCCTGGTTTAGGATGGTTGCTATGCTAGAGATCGGTTAGATCGGTTGTTATGGTATGCTACATATGGATTTGATTTGTTAGATCGGAATCAGGATAGATAGTATGTTATGCTTTTATGATCCGTAAGGATTGGTATGTTAGTGACCTGCTAGGTCGGTACTCTAGTTACGAGAGGATTCTATAGTTGATGATCAGTGTGACAGATATGTTTGATGTTTGTATATGCCAGTATATGATAGTTATGCGAACATGGTTATTTGCTTGTTGGTTGGGTTGAGGCGGTCCTGCTTTGTGCTGTAGGCCAACATACCCTATGAGCGGTCCGGGGAGACTGCAGGCCCACGAGGCGGACCAGTCATGCCGAAGGCTCGGGGTAGATTCAGATAGACTGTAGGCCCGGTAGGGCGGTCCAGTCAGGCCGATGGCCCAGTATGCATGATTGTTTGATTGATTGTTACTGATATGATATTGTCAGTGTGGTATTGGTATTTTGGGGGTAGCTCACTAAGCCCTTGGGCTTACAGTTTTCAGTTATTGTTTCAGGTACTTCAGGAGATCGTGGCAAGGCAAAGGCGTGACCGTACCGCTCCTCATCCTTATGTTATGATTTTGGGACACTCTGATGGATATTGATTTGAAAACATTTTGTAAACAATACTATTTGACTTTTATTTATGATTTAAAAAGTTTGAATTTGGCGTGAAATTTATGGATGTTACATAGGGATATACCTCTCCTCTTGAAGTACGTTGACCGATACATAAATTTGCATCCACATACCATTTCTAAAGCCTGAAACAACAAAAAGGAATTAACTTTATCATTGTATACATAACTAATCATGCTTTTGTACAACAATAAAGCACTCATCAATAGCAAAAAGATTTACAAATCCATGGAGAGAAATATATTTGAATCATAAGATCCTACTTGTTGCCATACTAACTCAAGCATATTAACTTTCACCACCTAAGCTCCCAAAACAGATAAAGTTACATTGAAATAAAACCAAATTAGTTTAAGTAACATAATATCCCAATTTCGTTGACTTCATACTTAAATAAACATGTTTTATGATATAGGATCTAATTCTAGAACATAAATAGGGAGGGGGAACAGAACCGGAACCAAAAAAGTAATATATAGTTACTTTCCAGCAGACCCATAAACATTCAAAATTCTTAATAATTTCCTACAAATCCATAAACACAAATCCATTTAACACCAAATAAGAATTATTTTACATAAAAGTTAAGATAAATTCTTAGGGTCTAGGAGTGGTATTTTAGTCATTTATGAAAATGAGGTAGGATTGGGATTGAATTCCATGGTTATATGAAAGGAAAGTTAATGTATTGAAATTGAAGATTGTAGAAAGGCGAGAACTTACTAAAAGGTTACTGCAAGGTTTAATTCTTGGACCGAGACTCTAAAATTGATTGTTTTTCTTCTATGATCATTGGGGACATCTGTATCGGTGCTAACTCCCACTCTACATAGTTGATTGGTTATGAATAAAGCTTATATTCATTCTTTACCAACTAAAACTGCATTTTCTTTTATCTTTTGTGTAGCAATGTTCCCGACTACAATGACGAAATAACATTCCAGTCTAAGTATCAAATACATGTGATGTATTTTAAAAATAAGTTATCGAGTAACTAAAGTGAACAATTTGTCTACATATAGGGTTCTGACTTTCGATTCTAGAATTGGTGGAGTGATCAGTTTAATGTACAAATTTAGCTATTAGTTTTAGGGTTATCTTCCAAATTCATTTCCCCTAA